TGGTGTATGATGAGTGGTGGTTGAACAGCTGTTGAATGTCCGTAACACGGAAGTTTTGCACACTAAACTTCCTTTGATGAGTGTGTCCATAGCGCTCACTGCTGCTCCGCTCATGCTCTGCTGCTCTGCTGTAGGTCCTGAGGTTCAGTCGTAGAAGTTCACAATGCTCTTCACTTCTTTCTTCATTTTGTCTTGAGCTTTAGACCTGTCCTTGTTGGATTAGATGTTGGGCCAGTTACATGTCTACTACGCAGAAAGTGCGGAATCATTTTGTGTTTTCCTGTTGCAGTTTTCAGTGTTTGTAGCCATTTGATCAAACCAGTCTGATCTCAGAGGCTAAGGAAAACATCGTCCTTGCTCCGCATTTACCTTTGGGCATAGTGATGCAGAGATCACATCAGCAAAACAGCCCAAAGCCTCCGTTTGGGGTAGCGGAGCTGGTGTTTTATTACCCAGCGAAGTTGCCTGGATCAAAACGAAACCAGATCGCATCGATCCTAGCGCAAAGGTCTGTGATTGGACGTGAATGGACCTCTAGCCGGTCTAAGAATCAACTGTTGTGCTTTGTGATGGATTCCCCAACAAGAGGCCAGGCATATTCAGACATGTCGTTGCCCCTATGCAGACTGTGTCGCCAAAAGCCCGCCGCTTGTGCAGTTTCTGTGTAGGTAGTGTGTCATGTTTGTCAAGCGCCTTCTTTGTTCTTGAGCCTGTGAAGAAATCGGCAGGGAAACCCACGCTAGTGAGTGACAAGGCCACAAAGCAGGAATGTGTAGTCCAACCCTTGAGAGAAACACACACGTGCCGTCATAAGGATAGCAAGACGCCTCGTTAGCAATGCTTCAAGCACTCTTTGCGTGCAATTCATCAGGCAACAAAGAATAGTGGAAGCTTTGTGTTTGATCCCTGCAACCCTTTCTTGCATTTTCTGGTTTTGCCTGTTGAGTCTGCTAGGACTTGCAGGCGCTGTTCCTTTGGCCCGACACCTCACACAGCTCATCACGTTCTGGCTATCCGCATGTGGACTGAGGCGCGCTTACAAGCAGAATATCAGCAAGGTGCTGATTCTGTGTTTGGCACCAAGCACCTTTGCAAATAGTGTTACATTTGTGAAACCATTCTGCAGCAATGAAATTAGATGTGCTTGGATTACTTTTTTTGACAATGTCGGACTATGTCATTCTTTTAACTTTCTCTGTGAGGTATTTCCCACACTTGGGAATTATTGCCATTCTCAGTCAGAGGCTTGAGCGGCTCAATAGCCCAGCTCAGGCTGCACACATTCCAAAAGATTCGGTTCAACCAAGCCTTTACGCAAACAAGCTAGATAGTGACCAGAATGCTTCACACAGCACATACGCAAACAATGGGCTGCTGCAAAATGTAATCAGACAGTTACTTTACAACTCTTTCTTCAATCTGCTCAATCTAGGTAAGCTTTCAAGCCACATATATATATAATTTGCAAGTGACAAACACATTTTTGGTCATTGACTACTTGCTGGTTGTTGGCAAGGTCTTACCCAAGCAGCACTTATTTCTTGCACCAAGTCATCTAACAACTGCGTTAATCGTGCCTCTTTGCTAGTTAACCTGGAAGAATCTGAAGTACAAGAACTCGCCATCCGCCCCCCCCACCAATCAACTAAGGGTCACTAGGATGTAGGCCTTTACGGTTCAAGGTTTTCGGTTTTAGAGTTTAGGGTTATCCACTTTGAGTCCGCATTGCACTTTTATTTGCATGGAAGAATTGTAAACTTGATCATTATTGAACCGTAAAACATCAATTTCAATATAGCCGCCTTAGCATTGTTATTCACCGGTTTCCCCTAATGTTCGAAAATATCATCATCCGTTCGCCACAACCGATGCCAAAGCCTGGCATGACGAATGCCCGTTTGCGTTGTTATTTGCAGGGAATTGAGTGCCCCCTGAAAGCTCCGGTTCACGGTGAGTTCTGTGCCAAATCCTTACAAGGATTTCTTAAAAGAGTAGTCGTCAACGCTTGCTGGGCCCCCCTGAGACAAATTCTGAATCGAGGTCCTTCGAGGGCTCTTCCTGTTTTGCTTGCTGAGTGCCCAAAGCCCATGCAATACTAGTAATTAGCGTCCTTGCTCCTAGTAGCGATGCACTTTGTTACTAGTAGCTTCTCGTTACTAGTAGTAATGCCAGGAGCTACTAGTAGCGTCCTTGCTCCTAGTAGCTAATGCAGTGGCCATCATTCGAAGAGTTTTTGCCTGGAGACTAGAGGTACTCTCGCAAATTTGTTGGTGTGCCAACGTTGCGCACTTGGTTGGAGAGGGTATGGCAAGAGCAAGGACAGTGTTTCATGAGTATTGTGCATTGCGCCAAATGAAACTTACAACAAGGCCAGAGTAGGATGGGGACAATCTTGCCCCCCTCGTTTGCACCCAACTTGTGCATGTGAGACATTTCGTTTTGATGTGAGCAGTTCTTACTTTCACTTGACTTCCTCCAAAGCTCATGTTTGTGTGCTATGAAGCCTTGTACCGTGGCATTGAAGTTGGCAAGCGTATGCATTTCGCCCTGCTTCATATGCAAGGCTGACAGCAACAAAGTGAAAGGCTGACTGCATAAATGCAGGAATTCATACGTGGCTGCGTGCCTACCAATTAGTTGAACCACAGGGAGAATGACAGGCCGTGAAAACTTGCGCGACATGTCCAGCAGTTCATGATTTGGGCTTTGCTATGACGAAGATCCATGAAGTAGTCACTCGCCGACGTTGCTCAAGGTGCAAAGCCCGAAGGCATAGATTGTGCGCCAAGTCAGTCACGGAACTAGGGTTCTTGTGCGTTTGCCATGCCTGTGCCGGAACCGGACGTTGAGGTGCCCGCAGGTGACAGCAAGAAGGGTGCAAAGCTTTTCAAGGCAAAGTGTGCTCAGTGCCACACCATCGAGCAAGGTGGCCTTACCAAGCAGGGCCCTCCACTCTGGGGCCTCATTGGTCGCACGTCCGGCACATGCGATGGCTTTGCATACTCCGAGGCCAACAAGAATGCTGCCATTCAGTGGTCCGAGAAGCATTTGTTCGAATATTTGCTGAACCCCAAGAAGTACATCCCGGGAACAAAGATGGTCTTTGCGGGCATCAAGAAGGAAAAGGAGCGTGCTGATCTCATCGCATACATGGCCGAGATGAAGTAGAG